CACAGATATTGTTCACAGGTAAGTTGGGGAACTAGGGATCGAACCCTGGGTCCTGCATCAGCTACTTCGAACTGGTGAATACCGTTTCATACCACTCAAAAGTATGATAATATACAATTGGAGAGTTCAAGTATCCAGCAGCAACCCGCCGCGACTCATCGCTGCAACTCAGCACAAGTATGCGCCCAACTCTCTCCCCTTTCATGCCTAGCTCATGACTCTTCTCTCTCAGGACTTCTGTCACTCAACCTCCCTTGTTGCTCAAGCTCTCTCTCTTTCTCTCTAGTCCACCGAGGTCTACCCTGAATACAGCTGCGATGTGTCAGTTCCACCTTGGCGGCTATGGCCGCCGTCTTCCTCCTCCCTACTTCTACAGCTATGGTTGACTCTCGTAGCCAGGGGGCTTGCTTCTTCCCCCGAAAGCTGATGTATGAAACTCTATCCAGGTCGCATATCGCACAAGCAACTAGCAGCGCTTCTGCAACTTTGCGAATGAATGACTGGGTTTGCTTGGCACCGTAGCAGCTAAATTTAGCTGCAGTTGACTGTATTTGCCTGCTTCGGACTGATACCGGCTGCCAAAAGGCCTCTCGTTGCCAAAATTGTTGTTCCCGGAGTCTCTGGACTTTCTTGCTAGTCCCTTCCTCTACTGGTACCGGCGGACTTTTACCGACCTGCTATGTTTCAGTACCGCGGCCTACCCACCAATGATGCTTGGACCTACGGCCACTACAACCTATCCTACTGGGACAGCCCTGGACCGGGACCAACTGGGATCTTGGGATCGGGACTTCGGGGACTGACGGTGTGAAATCCTTTCAACTAGAAAATGCATCCTTAGTACGGTCTTACTGACTCTTCTTACGTCCTACACAAAAAAAAAAATACAACTCCTTCCCTTCTCCAGGAGCGGTTATTTGTGGCTGTTGAAGCCCAGTTATGGGCCAGGCTAACAACTGACTGCGGTAGCACCTGATCAAGGCAAGGGGTTCCCTTTCGTAAGCGGGACTGGATCAATGAACAGTACCTGAATGGGATGGGATGGGATGCAATGCGGTAAAACTCTCAAAAGAAATGACCGCCACCATTGAACTGATTTATATCAGCAGCAATTGCAAGAACCCTCTAGGGTGTTGAAACAAACAGTGACCCCTATCTTCAATGGTTTAGGGTACAACATAAACGCTAATGGGCAGAGGAACGTCCATCCGTGCATGGCAAGTAGCTGTGAGATCTGGTGTTTACCTTGGAGAAGTCAACTGCAAACTTTCCATCAGGATTCTGCACAAACCCACCCTTCTGCAGCAGATAATTGAATTGCACTGCCTGCCCTTTCCTGTACAAATCCAATTCGAAGTATCAGAGAGCCCCAAAGAGGCCGGTTGGTATTGAAATGATTCATTCATAAAATTTAACCTCAGCAAGATCTTGGTTAATCACACAAACTTTCAACATCTTGCCATGGTGTTTCAAGATGGCTTTCATTGGATTCTTCTTCTCCTCTCTCTCTCTCTCTCTCTCTCTCTCTCTCTCTCTCTCTCTCTCTCTCTCTCTCTCTCTCTCTC